CCCCAACCCTTAAGCCCCAAACCCTCAACTCCAAACCTAAGTTTGCACCCCGAGCCGGATGGCTTGACCAGATCTCATCAATGCGCCAGATGTCCCGCGGACGCGTGAAGAACCTTGGCATTAAACGTAATGGCAGCAACAGCACACGCCTTTCTTCCTATACTCCTGATCCCACTCCACTACTCCAACTCCTGCTTCTACTGTTCCTCCTTCTGTTCGTTCTGCTCCCACTGCTTGCTGCGACTGCTGACTGCAACTACTACTGCTACTACTAATTGGGACTCCCTATCCGCCAAAGAAACTTTCCTCATTCATAGCTTCTACCCCACAGGATAACCTCCTCCCCAGTTGTAACTAATCGCTAAAGGCAGGCTACCCTTTTTTTCGGAACAGCCACGCAAACCCTAAACCCTAAACCCTGAACTGTCAATACCAAGTGGCGTCTGAAAGAGACGCCGGAGGAAGTTGTCATGTGTGGGACCTCAGGCTGCATCTTTGGGCTTCAGATGGGAGTGTCCCAAAATTGGGAGAGTGAAAAACAAAATGGAAACTGTTATAATGGGTTGTATAGGGGTTATATAGGGGTATATTAGGGTTTAGGGTTTAGGGTTTAGAGTGTCCCAAAATTGCGGGTACCTTATTGGGGGTCCCGTGATAAGGATTGTAGTATCTTGGGGCCTATATTGGGGTCCCCTTATTTTGGGAAACTAGCAGATCGCAAATCACTTGTGGTTGTGCTGAGGCAACAGGAACAAGGTGGAAACTACTGCAAACAACGACTTTCAGGTCCCCTCCCTGCAATGATGTGCAAATCTCGTATAATCCCTTCTTCTCATTTGGAGGGATGGATGACGCAAGATCAAGTATCAAACTCCCCCACCCCTACCCCTTCTTCGATGCCCCCCATTGTAGCACAATCACAGTATTATTAATCGGGAAAATTTTACATTGGGGGTTGGGGCTCGTCGTTTCGACTGCTGCGTCAGAGACGCCAACTGTTGCGCAGTGCCGTTTGGCAGGTCACCCTTCAAAGAATAAGTTGCCCGTCTCTCAATCAGGAACCCACCTTCAAGTCGAAAACAATTTAAGGGGGACTATATCCTAACAGGTAAGATGATGTGTGCACAAAATTTACCCAAAAAAGGGGCAGCATGCACCA